GGGGGCGCCGCGGCGGCCAGGGAGGCGCGCGTGGGAGGCTCGGGCTCGCTCCGTCACGGGCGCGACCAAGTGGCGCCCGCTGGTGGGGGGACGCGCGGCCTCACCGCTGTGCGCGCAGGGAGAGGCCACCGCGCACCTGAGGGGTGGCGGGGGCGGAGCCGTCCACCCCGGCCAGGGGTGTGGAGTTGCGCGAGCCGGGCTCCCAGACCCGGCTAGACCTCCCGAGCCCCAAGCCCGGGCGTGGCCGGAGGCCTCACGGGAGGATGGCGAGAAGCGGGCAGACCGCGCGCAGGGCGAACGTAGGCGAGAAGAGACGCACGGGACACGGACTTCTGGAGCGAGGTCAGAGGGCACGAAGTTGTGCCCGCAGCTGTTACCACAGCAACCGCGGACCGGATGTGACGATCTTAGGACGCGACGACCCTCTAGTCACAGGCCTTCGGGATTGAAAGCCAGGCGCGTCTGTGCCACATTGCGAGGAGCGAGCCGTGTTTCCCGGGTTTGGGAGGGAGGAGTTTCTTTTAACGACTTATAGGAACGCAGCCAAGGAAAGAGGCAAGGTCGCCGGCATGTGGGCCATAGACGGAGAGAGGCTGTTCTCCCCGGACGCGGCCGCCACCGCGCCGCCCCACGACCTGCCGGAAGTGCGGCTGCGGGAGCCTCGGCGTCCCGGCCCCCAGCCACCGGAAGCGGAAGCGGCAGCGGCATCCCCGCGTGCCCGCTCCTCACTGCTCTCCAGCTGCCGCTGCAGCGGTTGCCGCAGCCACGATGCCGAAACGAAAAAAGCAGAGTGAGCAGCAGCAACCGCCCCAGCAGCCCTCTCTGCCGGATCGGGGAGATCCTGGAGATGAGGAAGACGAGAGTCCCATTGGTGAGGGGTCGAGGAGGGTGTGCACGTGCCTGACGGGCGGCCCGGGCTGGGGGCTGCGGAACGAGAAGGGGGCTGGGGCGCCGGGCCGCCCGCTTGGGATGGGAGCTTGAATGACTTTTCTCACTTAAACCCTCAACCCTGGCCCCAAACCTTCCTAGAGGAGGAAAAGCTAAAGAGCGCGTATGCGCAGCCGCAGAATGGCAGGGGAGGGGGCAGTAGCGGTATTTCAGATTGCGATGGTCGAGATGACAATTTGTGACCACTCTGTCACTGGGAAGGTGGAAGTGCAGACTTCTCTAAACTACTCCCCCAAGGAAAGGAGAGGAGGAAAGAACTGTCTGATTGGCCAGCAGTTAAGGTGAGAGATTGGATTGTTTCTGGCGTCGTCTTGGGTGTTATGGGTTTCAGCGCTGTTCGGGAAAGTTGTCGCTAGCCTTCCTGCTGTCAGTTACCTTTCCTGCATTGCCAGGTCTCTACCTTTTGCCAAGCTGCAGAGGAAAGGGCAGGTAGATGGGATGAGATTGGTAGTACTGACTTTCTCTGTTGGGTGAACTATATAAGTAAGAGAATAAATACGACTGAGAGCAGGGTTATCGTTATTTAGCCATCCCTACCTCCATGTTTTCTGTTCTTAGGACCACCCAGCCTTCTGGGCCCACCCCCTATGGCCAATGGAAAGCCTGATGACCCCAGCTCAGGTGAGAAGGGTCCCAGATCCTTGTCTTAGGTCCTGGAGAGAAGCAAGGGAGCAAGTAAAACTTATTAGTGAATTTTTTTTTTCTGTACCGAGGATTGAATTCAGGACCTTGTTTTTGTTTTGTTTTGTTTTTTGTCTTTTTGAGGCAGGGTCTCCCTATATAGTTCAGGTTGGCCTTGAGCTAACTTTGTAGCCCAGGTTGGCCCCAGACTTACAGAGATCATCCTGCCTCAGCCTCCCAAGTGCTGGGATTACAGGTGTGCACTACCATACCTAGCGCTATCAGTGATTTAAAAGATTGCAGAATCTCTACCTAAAGGGATGGAGAGGAGTTGTACATTCATGAATTTGAAAATTCAGTATTATAAAAGCGTTACTCTTCTGGATAGTTAACAACCTAACTTTGCAGACCAAAATTAGAGAAAAAGGAGGGCCGCGAGGACAGCCAACATTTTGGCCCTAGTCTTCCAAGGTAAATTAAGACTCAGGACGTATGAGAACCTGTAATGTCATGTAACTGGGTAGTGTCTCATTTTCTGATCAAGGAGATTATGGGGCCAAAGAGGAAAGTGATCGATGATGTAGAGTGTGCCTAAGGAGGGTCACATGGAGAGAAGACATTCTCTCAGGCTTTCACAGAGAGCACATTGGCCAAGCAATGGCCGTCACTCATCCACATGGCTGCACTGACAAAGGTTCTACAATCTGAGGTACAGGATCTCAGCATAAATCCTGAGGGCATTTCACTGACCTTATCAGACCCAAGAGCTACAATTCTTGTTGCATAGGTCCTGCTTTACCTTGGTCTTAACCATCCAGCAGAAAAGTAAAAAAACAAAGTATTAAGAAGTAAAGCCATGCTGTTATGTTAAGCTGTAGGGGACTCAGGTCAACAATTTCTGACATTGCCAGTCAAGCGGAAGACCCAATACTACTATGGACCTCTGAACCCTCTTAGAATATTTTGCTGAGTTAACACACCTATAATATTCAAATAATGGAACTTAACAAAAAAAGGGGCTACAAATGAATGCCCATTTTGTATCTGTGTATTCCAAATGGTTAGGATAGACACATAGTTGCATTCTCTTAATGAATAGAGGGATTTGTTCTAATAGTGTCTGTAAATAGGATCTCAAGTCCGCATCTTGTACAGCAATTAAACACTAGGAAGAATGTATGCAGTGTGTTATTGAAACTGTCCTACCAATTTGGTTTGAAACTGTCTCATTGCTATTTGTTTCTCAATAAAACTATGGAGGAAAAAAGAGTGTTGCTTCTTCCTAAACTGATCTGCAGGCAGAATCCCTGTGGTGGTTTTGTGGAAATAAACATTTTACATTTTTGTCTGGGAAGGGCCTGGGTGAGACTGCCAAGACAGTCTTAAAGTAGGAAAACTTACTCTGACTGCAAAGCTGGGTAGTAAAACGCTGGTGGTTACAGGCTGGATTTTCATACAATAACGATAAGTGTGCATGTAAGTTAGTATTACAGCCCGGTAAGCCCGCAGATGTATTGGCCCTTCATTGATACGAAAGTAGAACTGGAGAAGGGGTCTTTTTCATTAAATGTTGCTGGATTAATTGGACATTCATGTGAAGATGAAATTTGCTCTCTAAACACATCAGATGCAAACATCCATTCAACTGGATTATAGATCTAAGTATAAAATTTTTCTTAGTAAGTAAATGTATTTTCATGGTCTTAGACCCCTAAAGGTTCTTAGAGAAATATACGTGTGGTAAAGAAAATATTAACATACCAGATTTTTTAAATATTTGTTTATTTGCTCCAGGGTCTCCTAACGCAGCTCAGACCCCAGTGCTGGGATTACAGCGTGCCCTGCCACGCCCCATTTTGGTGGCAGGCGTGGTGGCACAGCGTGCAGTACCAGTTTGAACCCAGTCCTTGCATTTGCCAGACAGGTGCTTAGATCACTGAGATATCTCCCAGCTCTATATCGGATGTTATTAATTTTTATCAGTCAGACAACACCATTAAGAAATTAACAGCTGGGCAGGGGAGATGGCTCAGTGGAATAAGCGCTTCCCTGGCAAGCGCAAGGGCCTCAGTTCAATCCCTGGTTCCGCAAAGAAAAAAAAAAGAAATTAACAGCTAAGCATGGTAGTGCACCCTTATAATCCCAGTAGTCGGGAGGCTGAGGCAGAATGATCGGACCAGCCTGGTCTACAAAGTGAGTTTAATGCCAGCCTGAATTGTATAATGAGACCCTGTCCCAAAAAAAAAATCAATCACTCAGTGCTTTAAAAAATGGAACTCTTGGGCTGGTGACATGGCTCAGTGGTCTAAAGCACCTACTTAGAAAGAGCTAAGCAAAGCACAGGGACCGCGGTTCAATCCCCCAGCACCACATGCCAGCCAGCCCCGCCCCCTGGTGGGCTGAGCTGGCCACACACACATACACACAAATAAATAAATTTTAAAAAACAAATAAAAATAAAAAGAGCCAGGTATCATGGTACACACCCATAATCCCAGCACTTGGGAAGCCAAGACAGGATTGTCGTGAGTTCGAGTCCTGCCTGCCCCTCATACAAGGCAGTCTCAAAAAAACTAAAAATAAAAGTTAAAACTAGACTAACACTTGATCTGGTTCTCTTACTCCTGGGTGTATATTCAAAAGAATTGAAGGGAGAAAAAAAAAAAAAAAAAAAAGGGCCGGCCAAATAGCGATTAGAGCACCTGCAGGCAGGCCCAGGGACCCAGGGTTTGGTCCCTGGGCCTGCAGTTGCGACTGGACATGGTGGCACACGCCTTATAATCCCAGCTCTGGGAGGCCGTAAACAGGCAGATGATTCACGGATCTAGTAGTGAGACCCTGAGCGCCCTGTAGATCCTTCCCTAAAATACAAACGAATCAGAAGCATGATCTTGAGATGCTTCGGTGAAGAACTGGAGAGAGAAGCAGGACCCTCACTGAGTGCATCTCCGCGCCTTTTATTTTTAATTTTGAGAAGGTCTTGCTTTTAAGGCTGTCTTCACCTGGGTGGTAGGAACATGGGTGTGCCCACTCTGTAGCTAAATGCTTAAAGTGGGTTCTGTGTGTCTGTGTGTGCTGCACTGTAATTGGAAAGGGGGAGCCAGGTGTGGTGTATGCCTATGATCCCAGCAGTCTTCAAAGGCTGAGGCAAGAGGACCCCAAATTCAAGCCCAGCCTGGGCCACTTAGCAAGCCCCTACCTCAGAAAACAAAAAAGGCTAAGATCGAGGCTTATGAGTCAGGAGAAAGCTACCCATCCTCACCTGTCTCTCTCTAGCTCTTCACAGAGGTCCTCCAGGATCCAGGGCACTGATGATCCCACCACTGCTGAGCCTGCCCTCGCATCCCAGAGGAAGAGGCCCGTTTCGAGGCGGCCTTGGCCCTAGGACTAGTCCATATGGACGTGGTTGGTGGGGGCTCAGTGTTGAACCTCCCTATCTGGGACCAGGCCATGGAGGTCCTTCCAGGGAAGGCTTTCACAGAGAGCAGAGAAAACCGAGAAGGCTAAAAAGCTGGTCTCTTGTGAAGAACACCTGCCCACCCAAGGATGGCCCCCAAGTTACAGAAGGTGAGGTCGACGTGCCTGTTTTTCCCTGGGTGCCCTGACTCTCGCGTAACCAGGGTTCCTTGCCTTTGGGTCTGAACTGGGACTGAATCTGGGCCTTGGCAAATGCTTACACTGTACCTCCAAACCCTGGCTGGCTTTTAGGGCTCTGAATTCATCCCTAATTGCCACCCCTCTTCCCTGCTAAAAAGAAACTAAAAGAGGTGAGGCTGGCAAATTGGCTTTATGTCTGCTTTTCATAATTACTGTGTCTTACTTGGATTTTATTTTTATTTATTTATTTATTTTTTATTTTTTTTGGCGGAACCGGGGATTGAACTCAGACCCTTGCGCTTGCCAGGGAAGTGCTTATTCCACTGAGCCATCTCCCCAGCACCTTTACTTGGATTTTAAACTGCCCTATATTTATTTATCCACAGACAAATCCAACCGCCCTGTGTGTCGACACTTTTCCAAAAAGGGCCACTGTCGATATGAGGATCTCTGTGCCTTCTATCACCCTGGTGACAATGGGCCTCCTCTGTGAGACTGCCTTCCCTTCCAGGAGGAAGGGGCCTGCCCAGTGGCCCTGTGCTGACAGTCTGAGGCTCTTCACCGCCACCCACCACTGAGGGTCCTGAGCTGTGGGGTCCTGGTGCTCAGTGTGAGCCTCTTCTGACCCCACCTCCGGGGACTCGCCTTGAGGATCCCCACGTCACCGCTGTGACTGCCTCCCAGATCTTCCCTCCACCAGATGACTGCTGACAGAAGACCTGGTGCTGTTTCTTGCACATCTGACCACAATCACCCTTCATCCCACTGACCGGAGACCTCTTCCTGAGACACCAGGCTGCTGGCGGCACTGCCTGAGGGAACTCTGGTGGTCTGCCCCTGGGTCTGCATGGTGGCTGGTACAGGGCCTCCCCCTGCTTCTGAGTAGTTTTTCTTTCAGTAGTATGATCCCCACCACTGTGCTCTGTGGTCACTGTGCTTTGTGCAACTATGCCTCCCCTCGTGCTCTCTTGGTGTTTGTGACTTCTCAAGGCTAGAGTAAGTTTTCTGCCAAAATGAAGGAGGCTCCCTGGGCCTCCAGACTAGCCATGTCCTGGCTTCCAGACTGACTAACACCCCCCCCCCCCCCTTGCCCATCCTCCAAGGTCTGACACAGGCCCGTGGTGTCTGGGAGGCCCTGGCTAAACCTTGGCCACTGTAGTCAGCCTGTCATCGAGAGGCCACCCACTGTTGACTGAAATCTGAACCTTTACCTGGTCTGTGCCCCGGTAGACACTGGCAGGATCGGCACTCTCTTCAGACCCTCTTTCCCCCTGGCGCTGGTTGTTTTCTGTGAAAACGCCAGTGGATGGGTTCAGTTACAAACTGGCCCTGAAGAAGTGGGTCAGGGGTGATGTTGGCCACGGGGGGAAGAGAGCCATTGGAGAACTGAGAATGAGGTGAGGTGTTTTTGTTTTTGTTTTTTTACTTTTTTTACATTAGTAATAAACACAGTGGGAACCAGCATTTTAATCCTTGTTCCTGTCACCTCGAGGTCCAAGTGAGGCTGCCCTTGCCATGTGCAGCGTCAGCATGTAGTTTGCTGGTGCTCATGGGAAGCCTGTGCAGTCCTGTGTTCTGATGAAGCAGCCTTTCAGGAAAAACCCATGAAGTTCCAACAAGCCAGGCGGCCACAGACGGAAGAGCCGCTGAGATAGATGCTGTTGGGGTCTACTGGCCAAGACAGCTTCCCAAACAGGCACAAATAGTGGGAAAGCACCTTTCAGAGTTGCCATGAGTCCTGGCCTGATGGTACATGCCTGTGACCCCAGCTCTTAGGACAGTGAGGCAGGAGAGTCACTGGATTTCAAGGCCAGCCGGGACTGTATCATAGACACCCTGTCTCAAAATGCAAAAGCACTTAAAAAGCACTGGAAGGCAAGAACAGAGTGGGAGTCTGGTCAGGCATGGTGGTGCAGGCCACAGTCACTGCCGTGGGAGGCTGAGACAGGAGGATCACAAGTTTAAGCCCTGCCATGGCAGTTCAGTGACTGATGTTATCATAAAATAAGTTTGATTTCTAATTTACGTATTTGGTACAGGTCTTACTGCGGAGCTCAGACTCCGTGATCCTGTTTTCTACACCCCTGTGCTGAGATCACAGGCACGCACCGCTGGGACACCCAGTCTCCGTGGCTGGCTCAGTGCCCCGAGGCAGGGATGGAAGCCCAGTGCCTGTGCTTCACTAAGCAGGCGCTTAGTCTGCTGAGCTATCTCGCTGGCCTTCGTGGGCACCTTGTAAAGCATTCAAGCAGAGACGAGGTATGACTAACAAATATGACGGCTGTCTTAATGTCTTGCAGTAAACCTTGCCGCTCATTCTCCCTAAATGTCGCTCAGCTTCAACATCCCTACCCGACAGCAGTTCACACTGAGGGTGATTTCTATCCAAAAGCAAGACCATGCCAGGGACATGGCTGCATGGCACAAGTGCCACCTGACAAGCGCAAGGTCCTTTCACTTCCGGGTGCGAAGACACAACACCGTCCTCGCTGCACTTGTTCGGCAGACCTAGCACTGCACGATTTCTGCGTGCTTTTCCCCCAAAGTCAAAATGACCCTCAGAGGTAATCAGGACATTGAGACAGCGGTGACAGCACGAGGGAGGATAAAGCTCCAGACTGCTTCAGAAAGTGACAGGAACACAGGCTGTGAGTGCAGGGGAGGCAGAGGATTTTGAGAGGGTCGTGACGACGTATGCTTTACTGTAATTTTTTTAATTTTAGGGAAGGGTGTTCAGGGTCTCACTACTACATCGGACTCAGTGTTCCATCTGTTTTACAGCCTCCCAAGAGCTGGGATTACAGGCGTGTGCCACCACGCCCAGTCTTAATTGTTGTCTCAGCAGGCCCGGGGATTGAACCCCAGGCCCCTGTGCCTGCTTGCAGGCACTTTAATCTGCTGAGCAATTTTACTGCAATTTTTTTAAAACAACCATATGTTTTGCTCATACCTCATTAAAGTAGGTAGATACAAGTTTGTGTGGCTTGGAGACCATATCGCTGTACAGGTCAGGCTGACCTTGAACTTGCTGTGTATGCACACTGGCCTCAAACTTAAAGTGATCCTCCTGCTTCAGCCTCCCAATGCTGTGATGTTAGGCCTGTGCCATCATGCCGGATTTAGATGTGCAGGTTTGAGACTCAGACTAGGCACCTGGTGGCACATGCCTGTAATCCCTGCAGTCCAGAGGCCTGGGAGGGAGGATTGCTTCAAGCTTGAGGCCAGCCTGGACTAAAGCAAGACTTAAACAAAAAGCTAGGAACTAACGTGAGTTTTATTTAGACGTAGATAGTGGTTGAAGGCATGTATGTGAATATATTTGTTTTTTTCTTTTTTTGGTGGAACCAGGGATTGAACTCAGACACTTGTGCTTGCCATGGAAGCGCTTATTCCACTGAGCCATCTCCCTGGCCCCTAAGATGTGGGAACAATGTCATCGTCAATATTATCACTTTTTTTTTTTTTTTTTTTGCAGAACCGGGGATTGAACTCAGGCCCTTGTGCTTGCCAGGGAAGCGCTTATTCCACTGAGCCATCTCCCCGGCCCCGACATTATCACTTTTTTGGAGGGGTGGAACTGGGGATTGAACTCAGACCCTTGCATTTACCAGGCAATTCTACTGAGCCATCTGTCCAGCCCCCTATTTCTTTACTCTGGGCAAGTACTGACCATATCTTTCTTGGGACTGAGTACAGTTGAAACAGAAGCCCAAGGTACTCCTGTAGGCCAGGATGCATGCTTGTCATCCTGTCCCCTGGAGGGCTGAGACAAGAACATCTTGGGTTGGAGCTCATCCTGGATAAGTCAGTAAGTTTGTGAGAACCTGTCTCAAAATTTTTTTTCAAAGGTAGGGGGTGTGACTCAGTGCAAAGCCCCTGACATCAATCCTCAGTACCACAAAGGGTAGTCTAGGACTCCTGAGGATTGCCACATCCCAGGCTTCAGTGACTCAGAATCCAAAGCCCCAGCTTCCGCTCTGCAGTCTACTGCTGTGTACCCTACTCCAGTCTGAAGTAATGCTCCAGCTTTCTCACCTGTCCTCAGACTCAACAAGGACCAGAAGATAAGTTGTCTTCAAAGAATTTTCCTCAAAGCATGCAACTAGTTCATCTTCCACCAGCTCTAACTGCCCTGTGGCCAGTACTTCCTGCAAAAGTAAGTCACTCAGCAACCATGTGTTAGGAACTTGGCAGCAAGCTGTTGGTGCTAAAGAACATTGGGGTGCCAGGCACAGCCTCTGCCTGCCACCCCTCACTGCTAGCACCTGGGCTGTATGACCCAAGGGTCAGTGCCCAAAAACTTCTGGCACATGCTAAGGGTCCAGGTTGCTTTTATTGGCTCCATACAGGTTATTTCATTAAAGTTAGAAACCACAGATGAAGTTTATGCTAGGGTACTTCAAAGATGAGGAAACTGTTCTGCCTTGGATGTTACAATAGGTCGGGGCAGCAGACATCTGTAGTTCCAACACTCCTGAGAGGCTGAGATGGGAGGATTGCAGTTCAAGACCAGTCTGGGCTATTAGAAACTTAGCAAGATCCTGCCTCAGGACGCCTGGGGATGAGTTCACCAGAAGGCCTTAGGTTCTGTACTTTCAGCCTCAAATGCCATGACAGTTACTTTAAGGACATAGGGGCAAATTGGGTGTGGAGCCACATCCCTATAATCCAGCATCCTGGGAGGCTGAGATGAGACCATTGCAAGATTGGGCCCAGCCTGGGCACAGTGGCAACTTGGCAAAACCCTGACTGAAAGTTTGCCAGAGGGGGGGAATACAGCTCAGATACAAGGCCTGAGGTTCAATCCCCAGATCCAAAAGAAAGAAAATGATAGATAAATACATGTAACGTTGGGCATCGTGGTGGTGCATGGCTGTAATCCCAGCACTCTGGAGACTGAGGCAGGAGGATCACTGCAAGTTGAGGCTAGCCTGGGCTGCAAAGTAAATTCAGGGCCAGGGATATAGCTCAGCAGAGCAAGCAACTACACAGCAAGCGCAAGGGCCTGAGTTGGATGTCCAGTACCAAAGAGTGAGTGCAAGGCCAGCATGACTCTACAGTAAACTGTCTCAGAAATAGGGCCGGGGAGATGGCTCAGCAGAATAAGTGCTCCCCTGGCAAGCGCAAGGGCCTGAGTTCAATCCCCGGTTCCACAAAAAAAACAACCAAACAAAAATAAATAAATAAATATTTGATGTTACAGCCCACTGCAAAGGCTGAATTTGTTCCCTTTAGCCCTTAAGAAGTACTAGTCCCCCCAGAGAGAGGGACCCTCGTAATACAGTCCTTGCCTGTTAAGGCCCACCTCTTAATAGTGTTGCCCCAGGAAATCTGTCTCAGTAAGAATTTATTTATTTATTTATTTATTTCACAGAACCGGGGATTGAACTCAGTCCCATGTGCTTGCCAGGGAAGCACTTATTCCACTAAGCCATCTCCCCAGCCCTTCAGTAAGAATTTTAGAGGGAATATTAAACATTCAAAGCAGAATGACTATTGGTTACATAGAAAGGCACATTAGATTTTTTTTTTTGAAGGGCCGGCCAAATAGCTCAGTGGATTAACGCACCTGGGGGGGCTGCTGAGACGGCAATCGAGACTGGGTGCGTGGTGCGCAAGCCTGTAAGCAGGTGGGTCACTACAGGTCTGAGCTCGCAGGGAGACCCTGAACACCCTGTAGACCCTTCCATAAATAAATAAATAAAAACTAAATGAGGCTTCCTTATAGTTAATATTTGGGGGCCAGCCCATTGGCTCCATGGCTTAAATGCCTCCTTAAGCAAAGCAGTCGGGCTCAGGATTCTGTGGTTCGATCCCCAGATCCTCCTTTCCAGGCTTGCCCTTAAGGCATCCTGTGGAAGCCAAAAAAATCCTTGTTTTTTTGAATCAGGGTGCACTGTGTGGCCTATGAGCCATGTCACCCATGCTGGCCTATTGCTCACGCAATCCTGCCTCCGCCTCTGGAGTACTAAGATTATAGGTCTGTGCCACTACCCCTAGCTAAAGCACATTAGGTTTCTGCACCGCTGCATTCCCAGTGCCTGGCAAGGTCAGGCCCAAAATAAATATGAGCTGATAAATTAGTAGAGTTTTCCAGAGAGTAGTTAGGAAAGACTGGGAGAAGTGACAAAACAGCTGACTACCCAGAAATTTAAAAGGGTGACAATAGGGGCCAAGGAGATGGCTCAGTAGAATAAGCGCTTGACTGGCAAACGCAAGGATCTGAGTTCAATCCCCGGTTCTGCAAATAAATAAATAAATAAATAAAAGGGTGACAAGAGAGCCTTGGCTGGACCCTGCTTAATTTGGGACCAGAAGGCTACGTGTATAGCCAGTGCTGTCTGCTAAGGAGGGACTGAGGGAGCTACTGGGAAGCTAAGAGAGATAAGCCAAGCCTAAGGAGGAAAAGCAGCGTGCAAGCCGGTGGAAGGCACTGGCATCCTACCGAGTCCCGGCCAGGGGTGCGGGGCGGCAGAGGAGCGCAGCGGCAGGCAGAAAAGGGAGCAGGAGGGGAGTGGGAGAGAAGACAGTAATTCAAAGAAAAGGGGCTGGAGAGATGGCTCAGTGGTCTAAAGCACCTACTTGGAACTAGCTTGGCAAAGCATCAGGGACTGCGGTTC